TAGACTATTAATTTTTACATCATTCTCATTTACAAAGAAAGGCAAAAACATTTCCTTCGTAAGCACAACTAAATGTGGAAAGTCCGAATGATTAACATCTAACACAGCCCATCTTTCTATAATGCAGATAGATTAAAGATACTGAATATATCAAAACATAGTCTTTTTTCTGTCCACATTTATTATGCAGCCAGCTTCCAATGAGCATTTTTTTTCCTAGCACAGACAGACGTCACTCTATTATTTTGCTTATTAATGCTTGTTAAACCAAGTGGTCTAAAAGAGGCAACTCATAAATAGAAGGTAAACTAAGAATAAAATGCCTACTAGAAAACAGTGGTGCTGAAAATGTTTGACTATCAGCTTAGTAAGTTCTGGCAGAAATCAAATTTAGTATTATTTTTATGATATCAGAGAACTATAACTTTTTATATTTTTTGATATCCATTTAATATCTGATTTACTTCAGCAATTATCGTGTTAAATATTTTGGCTAAAGGCAAAACTCATACATAAAACACCCATTCACCAATATTTACTGAGCATCTTCTCTGCCTTAACCAGGATGCTAATTGTTGAACATAAGAGATAAATAAGATATCCTACCATCCTCAAAAGAAGTCATACTCTGTTTATCTAATAGGAACAGATAAGTAATACTGAAATATGAACAAAGAGCTCTTATGAGAATACAGAAGAGCAGCAAATTATTATGTTTGGGAGTGCTGAGGAAGTTTCACCATAAGGGTAATATTTGAGTTTACATATTCTAGAAGAACTTTTTAGGTGAGGAGATGGTAGTATGGAAGGAAGGACATTCCAGGAGAAACATAACAATGTGCAAAAAAACCCAAAGTCAAAAAGAGCCTGGTACACTTGAGTGCAGTGAGAAATTCTATAAGGTTTGTTTTAGTTACTTAGTGCTGCTATAACAAAAATACCACAAGTGGGTGGCTTTAAAGAATAGAAATTTATTTTTTCACAGTTTAGGAGGCTAGAAGTCTGAATTCAGAGTGTGGCGCTCAGGGGAGGTCCTTCTTTGTCTGTTTCAGCTTCTAGTAACTGGCAATCCTCAGAGTTCCTGGACTCAAAAGTAGATTGACAGCCTTAGTCATCCTCAGATAGCGTCTGTCTTCCCCCATTTGGGCTTCGTTTCTCTGTGTCTATGCCGCTCCTTATAACTCAGCAGTGATTAGGTTTAAAACACACCCTACACGGATAGGGCCTCTTTAACATAACAAAGAAAACCAGACAGGACTACATTCACAGGTATAGGGGTTAGGATTACAACACGTATTTTTTTTAATCAATAACAGGCTGTAGCACAAAATATGTATGATTGTGGGAGCAGATAGGTGGGGGTGGAGAAGCAGAAAAGAGGTAATGAGAGAAGAGAGAGAGGCTGGATTTTCATCAATGGCAAGGAGTCTGGCCTTCATTCTATAGAAAGAAGGAAGACCGATGAAGTTTTTAGGCAGACGAATGACATGGTTAGATTTTTTACTTAGGAAGAACCAAGGTGTTATCTGGACTGGGTGTTGACTAGATTACAGTCAGTGAGATCAGACTGGAAACATTTGTAATAACTTAGGCAAGACTGATTAAAGGTCTGAATTAATGTAGGGGCAGTGGGTAAACAGGAGTCCCTGGGTGGTTCAAGTAGTTAAGCGCTTGGAGGCTAACTGAAAGGTTGGAGGTTCAAGTCCACCCAGCAGGACCTCAGAAGAAAGGCCTGGTGATCTACTTCCAGAAAAATCAGTCATTGAAAACCCTAGACAGCATAGTTCTACCCTGACACACATGGGGTCACCATGAGTCAGAATTGACTCGACAACAACTGGTAACTGGTAGTAGAAGAGAAGGAGACAGATTCAGGGAAGTAGAACCAACAGCATTTGGTGACCCATGGAGTGTGGAGAATGAGAAAGAGGTAAGAATTCAGGTGACTCTAAAGCATCCAAGTTAGGATACTAGGAATATGGTGATGTCAACCAGCTAAGCAGGGTTTGTAAAGCCTGGTTTGGGGGTGGGAGGAGAGAAGAGATATTAATTTGTTTGGGCCATGTTAAGTTTGAAATCTTTTGGGCCATGCTGAGTTGTCCAACAGGCAGAAGGTTGCACCCTTCTGCAGCTCAGGAGAGGAGTTAGGGCCAGGAATAGAGAGTGGCTGACATCTTAAAAGAAAATGGGATCACCCAGGGGAGGCAAGTAACAGCAGAAGGAAACTGAGCAAAGGGTTAACTTTAAAGTTCTACTGATAATGGGGCAGCCTAGTTCTTATCACATATTTAAAGTTATTTGATAGGTAGCTATAGACTATCTACTGTCATTGCAATTTTGTTAATGATTTTGAGCAACCTTTTTAAAAATGCATCTTTGAAGATAATGTGACTTGGCCATCAAATGGACTGTAGTAAATGTTCAAATCTT